GAGGGACCAGACAGTAAAGTAGAAGAAGTTCTGGAAGTAAAATAAAAAATGTTTTGAAAAACGATCAGTTGTCAGGTGTTACTGAGAGAACAATTAAGAAGAAAACTGAGACTTGATGATTGCACTTGACAATAATCTTCTTGATGAGAATAGTTTTAGTTCGATTTGGCTGGTGTAGGCTACTCATAGCATATGTCCTTCTCTTGGAAATTTAAACTCCGTGGATTCAGGAGAATCTACAAGACTGTCTATTTTTTTTGGAGAGGTTTTTGCTATAGGGCGCGTGCGCTCACCAGACAGAGACAGAGAGATAGAAAGCGAGAAATCACCCCTCAGGGGGGATGGCCACGCCGCAATCTCTTCTCCATTCTCCTCTCGGGATCTTGGGCATGCATGCACACGTACCCGGCATGTTTAAGCCAACAGGTCTGGGACACAAACCGCATTCGACTACGTGGTAGTCCAGTGACATAGCCATTATGCTAATTGCTGGTCCCAAGACTGTCTATTGATCAAAAAAGATAGCAAGAGAACAATAGAGAGGTAAGACGTTAGTGAGAAACAGATATGGCTTATTACCTGTTGGTAATGACATGTATAGTATTCTCAACTGGATTGGTCCGAGAAGTATTTCATGATGAGTAAAGTCTTTTTACAAGCAAAATGAGAGCAGGAATCCAGGCACTAGTAATAGCAACCCAACCAGGGTGGTGGTAGAGATTATGAAAAGTGGTTGAATCTGAAGGTAGATTTGCTGATGGATTAGATATGAAGTATTAGAGAGAGAGTTAAAGCTGACTCCAACAATTGTGGGCCCAAACAATTGACTACAGAAATTTAATGAGCTAGAGAAGACCAAGAAAAGAGCAGGTTTTGACATGTAAAGTTTAAAATGAAGTCCAGTAGGCAGTTGGACATACTATACAAATCCCAGGTCTGAGCTAGAGATAGGAATTTGGAAGTTGTCAGCATCTAGTTAGTATTTGAAGCCATGAAACTGGATGAGATCACCAAGGCATAAAAGTAAATAAGGAAGAGAAAATTTGTGCAAGAATCAAACACGTTATTGTTAAGAAGTTAGAGGAGTCATTAGCAGAGACCAAGAGGGACCAGACAGTAAAGTAGAAGAAGTTCTGGAAGTAAAATAAAAAATGTTTTGAAAAACGATCAGTTGTCAGGTGTTACTGAGAGAACAATTAAGAAGAAAACTGAGACTTGATGATTGCACTTGACAATAATCTTCTTGATGAGAATAGTTTTAGTTCGATTTGGCTGGTGTAGGCTACTCATAGCATATGTCCTTCTCTTGGAAATTTAAACTCCGTGGGTTCAGGAGAATCTACAAGACTGTCTATTTTTTTTGGAGAGGTTTTTGCTATAGGGCGCGTGCGCTCACCAGACAGAGACAGAGAGATAGAAAGCGAGAAATCACCCCTCAGGGGGGATGGCCACGCCGCAATCTCTTCTCCATTCTCCTCTCGGGATCTTGGGCATGCACGCACACGTACCCGGCATGTTTAAGCCAACAGGTCTGGGACACAAACCGCATTCGACTACGTGGTAGTCCAGTGACATAGCCATTATGCTAATTGCTGGTCCCAAGACTGTCTATTGATCAAAAAAGATAGCAAGAGAACAATAGAGAGGTAAGACGTTAGTGAGAAACAGATATGGCTTATTACCTGTTGGTAATGACATGTATAGTATTCTCAACTGGATTGGTCCGAGAAGTATTTCATGATGAGTAAAGTCTTTTTACAAGCAAAATGAGAAACAGTAATTGACTGTTTTAAAAAAATAATTAGAATAATAATAATGATTGGAAAAAACATAGAAAAGATATTGAATGATGAAGTGGGGAGATTAATGTCTCTGTATTGACTGACATGCATGGCATTTCCTTTTGAAAAAGCAATGTAATACACTATAAAATTATATGTAACCCAATGTAATATAAAGAAGATTATGACGATAATAATTTTAAAAAAAAGGCTGTCTATTAATCAGAAAATTATTTAACAGATATTTATTGATTATCCCATCTTCTTTTGTTTGTTGTACATGTTAAGGATTTAAAAACGGTGTCCTGTACTCAAGATGGATATGCAAGTACAGTAGTCCTCACTTATGCGCAGGGACGAGTACATTCCAAGACCTCTAGCAGATGCCTGAAATAGCAGATAGGTCGAATTCTGTGTGTACTGTGTTTTCCTATACACACATACCTCCGATGAAATTTAATCTATAAATTAGGCAAAGTAAAAGATTGACAGCAATAAATAATAATCAAATGGTACAGTCGTAACTGTATACTGAAATAAAAGATATGTGAATGTGGGCTTGGACTCTGTCAGAACTTCTTCCTGTGCTTATTTGCTCACTTGTTTTTGGACTGTGGTTGACCATGGGTAACTGAAACCTGGGAAAGTGCAGCTGCAGTAGGGAGGGCTGCTGTGTGCCACGTAAAGATTTATGCATTTGTAGGAGGATATGTGTCCTTAGGAATGCTTGTTACATGAAATGATGATAGCCTTTTTTCCTCTGCACTTTCTTTCTCTCTCTCTCTTTTTCTTTTTCCTTTTTTTTTTTTTTTTTTTCTTTTTTCTTTTTTTTTTTTTTTTTAATATTAGAGGATATCTACACTTGAGAGAGCGAAAGCACCCCCTGGTGGGGCGTGGTCATGTCACAATCTTTTTTTCTCTATTCCTCCTTACAATGAGGATTTGCATGTATGCAAGCCTGGTGTGGTTTTTCAAGTTACTAGGGTTCGAAACTGTGGTCAGTCATGTGGAATCCAGTTTCCTTAACAGGCCAGACTAGAAATAGTAACGTGTTTTTTTTTTTTTTTTTTTTTTTAAGTTTTGCTATAGGGTGCGTGTACTTCTCTGAAGCTAGGCAGAGAAAGAGTGGGAGAGTGAGATATTATACCCCCATGGGGATGGCCATGCCACAATCCTCTCTCTTCCATTCTCATCTCAGGATTTCGGGCACACACATTCATATGCCCAGCGTGTTTTTGAAATTGCTGAGTCTGAGACTCGAACCACATAGTCAGCCATGTGCGACTCAGCTGCCTTAACCTCCACGCCATTTGTTGACCTGTAATATCCTAATAAATAATTTTGTCATATTTTTTCTTCTACCCTCCCCCCCCCCAGTTGCATGCACTCATCCCAGAGACATAGAGAGGCAGAGAGAGAGAGAGAAAGGGAGAAATCTCTCTCCCAATGGGGAGTGTGGTCATACTGCAATCGCCTCTCCTCCATCTTTCCGTTTTGTCAAGATTTTGGGCACACACGCACATATAGCTGGCTGTTTTTCAAACTCCTGAGGCCAGGATTCAAACCATGCAGTTTGCTATGTGAGATCTAGCTCCCTTAAACACCAGACCTCTGGCTGGCCCTGTAGTTCTTTTTTTAAAAATAGATTATTACACACACACACACATTATCATAGGGTGTGTATGTGCACTCGCCAGAGAGAGAGAAAGTGAGAAATTACCCCTTGGGGAGTGACCATGTTGCAATCCCTTCTCCATTCTCCTCTTGGTTATGTTGGGTATGCACACACACACGCCCATTTTTAGAAATAATTATTTAATTTATTTGATTTTCCAGTTTGATCAGAGAAAGACAGAGAGAGAAGAAAAATGAAAAACCAGGCTAGTAGGTCTGGAACTTGAACCGTGGTCAGCCATATGGGAGTCCAGTGCCTTTTAACCACCATGCTATCTGCTGGCCCCCTAGTATGGTTTTTCAAGTTGCTGAGTCTGGGACTCGAACCATGATCAGCCATGTGGGAGAGACCAGTGTCTTAACTTCTATGCCACCTACTTTCCCCTACAGTTCAGTTCATTTTCCTAAAGAAACTAAAAAGCAACCTAAGTTCATGATTCTGAGATTTTTATTAGTTTATTTTATTATATTATTATTATTTTTTGGACAGGTTTTTGCTATAGGGTGCATGCGCTCGCCAGAAAGACAGAGAGACACAGAGAGACAGAAAGCCAGAAATCACCCCCGGAGGGGGGGATGGCCACGCCGCAATCCCTTCTTCATTCTCCTCTTGGGATCTTGGGCACGCACGCACACACGACCGGCGTGAGTTGAAGCCACTGGGTCCGGAACTTGAACCGTGGTCATCTACATGGGAGTTCAGTGACATAGCCATTATGCTAACTGCTGGTCCCATGATTCTGAGATTTTTAAAAAGTAGTAAATATGTCATTGTAACCTAGCTGTGATGGCACAATAGTAGCACAACACTGTGCAATGCTGGAAGCCACATGGAATATAGGGGTTTAGTATCCAGGTTAGCTTGTACACACTGGGCACACCATGCATGCTCATTATCCTGACTAGCTGGGATGGCTGGGAAGGGGGATCATGACGTGACACCCTGTCGAGAGTGCTTCTCTGTCTTTTTCTCTCTCTTGCTCCTTCTCTGTCTCTCTCTCTCTCTCATGAAAGAAGGAAACTTTAAAAAAAAATGCACCTGGGCTGGCTCTGTGGTTTGATTATTAAGAGAATTGGATCCCACATGGCCAACCAGTTTGGGAAAAAACGCTGGGTGCGAGTGCATGTGTGCCCAAAATCCCTGGAAGAGAACCGAGAAAGGGAATTGTGGTATGTCCCTCCCCCTGGAGTGCGATTTCTTACTTTCCCTCTCTCTGTGTCTCTGTCTAGCAAGAACATGTGCCCTATAGCAAAAAACAAAACAAAACAACCCCCCCCCTCCAAAAAACCACACTGGGTGCATGTGCATATGTGCCCAAAATATGGACTCAATAGAGAAATGGAGGAGAAGGGATTGTGGGATGACCACTTCCCATTGAGGGATCCTTTTTCCCTGCTGTCTCTGTTGGCAAGTGCACATGCCCTTGGCAATAATGAAAAACAAAACAAAATACCTAATTTTGATTCTTAATACCAAGAAACACAAGAGTTAAAAATATAAAAGATTTTATTTCTCTAATGAAATGTATTTTTTTTCTTTATTAGAAATTCATTGAATTTGAAGATTCTCAAGAACAGGAAAAGAAGGACTTACAGACCAGAGTGGAATCATTAGAATCTCAAACAAGACAACTTGAACTTAAAGCAAAAAACTATGCTGACCAGAGTAAGTAAAATACCTTATGAGCCCACATTGAAGAGTGGGCTCAGATACTGCACTGCGTCATCCTGACATTTGACTAGACTTTCATATATAAGGTTGGAATTGGCACCCCAGACTCAACAGTGAGACCTGGGAGGCAGGATTAGTTCTTTTTGTTGGCATTTTAACATACCCAAGTATGCAGAAATGACCAAGTTAAAGATACCTATATGACTCAGTTCTTTAAGTTAGCTTTCAGCCTTTGTTTGTAGTCAACATTATGCTATATCCATTATACAGGTATGTGTGTGTGAGGATCAGTTCTTTTCATTTACATACACATACACAATGTGTATGATCACATACACAAAGTTTTATTGTTTCTGTATTGCTTTGAAATTTTTAAATGTAAATTGAGATATTCTACCTTTGAAGTATATGTAAAAAAATATATATTACTGAGTTACCTTTTTTGTTCCTTTCAAATGGAGGGCATTTAGGGGAAAAGCACTTCATTTTTCAGGACTATTTCATTTTTAATTAGTTCCATATATTTTATTTTTAAAAATATTGATAGTTACTTCAAAAAGGGATGATTTTTCCCTTTTTGGCTAATGAAAAGAGACCTAATTAGAAAATTATAAAAAGAAATGCTAAGAAACTTCATGGCCTATGTTCATGTCTGATGTAGGTAGGCAGAGCGCTCTCTGCTTTTCTTTCCCAGCCTTGTAAACTTTCAGAATATAGGGAACAGAAGATGGCCAGGCAGTTACCCTGTTCATATCACTTGGTAAAGCTGCATAGTGACACTTTCTATTCCTGATGTATATAGCCTTTACCACCAGGCTTGGAGGATGTGGGAGTACTGACCACCCACTCCAGAACTCTGGAAAGACCTCTAGAACTAAATCAGAATTACCGAGAATATGGAGTTCAAGCATCCTAGAATAAAAAGAGGACTCCCACGGCTATTAAACAGATGTCATAGAAGAAAGTCAGTGGATATTTGATGACAGAAGCCAACTTGAGTGAGATAAAGACAGGTGTCATTTATGTCTTTGTATTTTCAAACTTGTAGATACCTGGAGTTATGTATACTTCCTTCATTAATATTGAATACACTGAATGACTTCTGTGATTCTGAAATTTGAGGTCTTAGAGAGCTGTATGGATTTCACAAGTGATGTACTAACAAATTTATTACTGGAGTCGCATTATAATCAGTACCACTTACCTGGAGAAACGATCTTGAAGCAATTGCAAGGTTTTGGTACATTACAAGAACTTAGTATTCTCTATTCAAAGGGGATGAAAATTTAGCTGTAAAAGATAATTTAATTCTAACTTGATTGTGCTTTCCTATCAAGAATTACATAGTATTGTAATAGTATTTTACCAAACAGTAAAGGCATAATCGACAGAACCAATCTAACTTTATTGTTTTACATATCAATTGTTCTCACTGATTTCTGAAAAATACCCAGTTTTTGGTGAGAATATTCTCTTTTGATATGGAAAGGAATTCCTTTGTCAAAATCCTTTTGTGCATTAAATAACCTGCTTCTATGGTAAGAGATATTAGATCAAGAATTACCTTAAACTTGAAATTGCATTTTTCATATCAAAATACTGGGACCAGCATTGCAGATGGCGTAAAGGCTACGTTGCTGAACTCCCATGTAGTCAACCGTGGTTCGAGTCCTGGACCCAGTGGCTTAAACTCACGCCAGGTGCATGTGCGTATGTGCGCAAGATCCTAAGAAGAGAGTGGAGGAGAAGGGATTGTGGCATGGCCATCCCCTGTGGGACGTGATTTCTCGCTTTCTGTCTCTCTCTGTCTTTCTGGTGAGCACATGTGCCCTATAGCAAAAACCTCTTAAAAAAAACTCAAAATACTTTAAAATATCTCTCTCACATTCAAAGGATTTACTGCTTTTTCTTTCATTCTTCCTTTTAAAGATGTATTTATTTTTAAATTTTATTTAGTAGTATTCTTCAATTTTGACCAGAGACAGACAGACAGAAAGGTCAAGTGAGAAAGCAAGCTGCCAGGCCCGGGACTTGAAGCAGAGTCTACCATGTGGGAGTCCAGTGCCTCAATTACCATGCCACCTACAACTAAACAGAATGAATCACTAATTCTTTTACATAAACATTAACTTTAAAATTAAAAACATTGTTTCCTGTTTTTTTTCTGGTAAATGTAGACAAAGTGTAGTAGTTTCCTAATTAAGGGAAGCGATCCTAATTTAGAAGACTGTATGAGTGTCTCAAAATTTGTCTTTTTCAGTGTCCCAAATCTGTTATCTAGTCCAGTGAGTCTCATCCAGCTTCTTTAGAATTGTCATATTCTGTGATATCCATCCTCTCATTTTACTCTTTAAAAGTGCTGTTTATCACGTTTTCTCACTTTAATTTAGACATTACAAATTAGATATCATTTAAAAATAATAGATAATACTATAGGGATGGGAGGAGGAAATGCTTCACCAACTATTGGAAATACTCGAGCTTAATTCGATTTGGAAAGCTAATTTTTGTCATTAATATAATGTCATCCTAAGAATATCTCCCCTGGGAATCAGCTATCTCTCTTTGAAATAAATCTTGATGGCTAAATAACAATTAAAGAACTTAAAACTATGATTAGTCAAAATTGACCACCTCTGGGCGGGCTCCATTGTACAGTGGTAATGCACTACTCAAGAGAAGCCAGATTCCACATGCTAACTGTAGTTCAGATCCCAAGCCTACCTGGCATACACACAAATGCCTAAGACCTGATGGGCTGGAAGAGTGAAGGAGGGGGATTGCAGTATACCAGACCCTGTGGAGGATCGTTGTCTCCCTCTCTCATTGTCATATGTACATGTGAGCACACACATACACACACTCTATCATGAATAAAGAAAACAGTGACCATTCAGATGCACAAAGTTGATAACACTAAAAATTTCTTGATCCATGAACTAAGGCTATAATGAATCATCTTTCATTAATGCTTTGGAACTTTTTTCCTGCTCTTGTTTTTGACACCTCAAGGTCTTTTTTTTTTTTATGTAAATGTTTCTCTCTCTCTCTTTTTCCTGTTTTCTTCTTTTCTTATTCTTAACTGGTATAATATGAAATCTAAGCATACATCAAACTTATTCCCTAGTTGTTGTTGTTGTTTTTTTTTTTTTAACTTACCAGAAGTTGTGTGTGCTCACTAGAGACACAGAGGGAGAAAGGGAATGTGAGAAAATACCCCCCATGAGGATGATCATGTCACAGTCTCTTCTCTTTTATCTCTCTCTCCTTTTAGGATTTTGGGCCTGCGTGCACATGCATCCAGCATGTTTTTCAAGCTACCAGCTCCAGTACTTGAATTACATAGGCAGCCATGTTGGATCCAGTCACCTTAGCCATCATGCCACCAACTGGCCCTCTAGCTTTTATTTTACCATGTATTTTTAAAAAGGAATTATTTATTTATTTAATTCCACTTATTATTATTTTTTAATTTGACCAGACAGAGAGAGAGAGAGAAAGGGAGAGTAAGAAAGCAAGCCTCTAGGTCTGAGATTTGAACTGTGGTTGGCCATGTGGGAATCCAATGCCTTTAACCACCATGCCATTTGCCGGCCCCTATTTTACCATATTTAAATATCCCCTTCCCAATTTATTTTTGTGCAAATATGACTCTTTTTTTTTTTTTTTTTTTTTTTATTCCCCCAGCCTTCCTTCCTTCACTTTTCATATGAATCAAATCCCTTATTATTTAAAAGTTTATTTATTTATTTCTTCTATTAGGAAGAAAGAGAAATAGACACAGCAGCCCCAATAGATTCTTGGTCTTTATTTATATATTTACTTTTTAAAGATTTTTTTTGCCATAGAATGTATGTGCTCACTGAAGAGAGAAAGTGAGAAATCACCCTCCAGGGGAGATGACCATGCCACAATCCCTTCTCCCCCATTCTCCTCCTGGGATTTTGGGCTTGTATATGCACGTGCCTGGCATAATTTTCAAGCCGCCAGGTCTGGGAATTGAACTGCAGTCAGCCATGTGGGAATCCAGAGCTCTAACCATTATGCCACCTGCTGGTCCCACCCAATAGGTTTTTGACTTTGTGACCTATCTTCTACCTTTAGCCGGCCCCAGATTGTGGGCATGTGCATATCTTATGTGCTCAGAAGTTCCGTACTTGAAACATGAACCTTTCCATGTGGGATTGTCTTGGAGAGCATTGTTACTCCTTCACCACCATCTGGCACCCAAGCCCCTTATTTTATCTTTGTGTTATCACTGTTCTATAGTATTGGAAAACTAGGCCTGGGAATAAGCGCCTTTAAAAGATAAAATCAAATAGATGTATATCAGAGTATATTAAGTCCCCCCCTTTTTTTACAATAGAAAACATTTTTTGTGCTATTTAATCTTCTTAACTCTAGTTTTTTATTTATAGAAAATAATGATTTTTGTTAAAGTGACTGTTACCCAGCATCTGATCTAAAATAAGCACTTATTGAGGGCTATAAAAATTACTGTAGGTGGTAAATATAGTAGGGAGGCTTGAGGAATTTTCTGTTCAGTGCGATCTTTTGGTAGTGCTGTGTAATAACTGTACCTGGCCCAATTTCCACGTTTATGCATTTGTACAATGTGTTAGAGTCTTGAACTTTGTAAGTCTGAGTATGTCAATTCTTATTGATGTGTTTTTGGGCAAGTACACCCCTCCCTTTTTTTGAAATGAGAATAATTTAAATTCCTTTGTTTTTTTTTTTCTTTTTTTTTTTTTTTTTTTTTTTTTGGCTATAGGGCGCATGCACTTGCCAGAAAGACAGAGCCAGAGAGATAGAAAGCGAGAAATCACCCCACAGGGGGGATGGCCATGCCATAATCCCTTCTCCTCCAGTATCCTCTTGGGATCTTGGGCACGCACGCACACATGCTCGATGTGAGTTTAAGCCGCCGGTTTGGGGACTTGAACCGCGGTCAATTACATGGGAGTCCAGCAACATAGCCATTACACTAACTGCTG